TTACTAATTTATAATTGTAGTATCCAATTTCTAATTTGTTTCAAGTATTTCTGAAAAATTAATTTAAAAGAGATGACCAAAAATATTTGTAAAATATATATTACTATGATTTAAATAATCAATATTAAAAGTGATTATTTCACAAAGAAGCATATTTTCTGATTTTAGAGTGAAAAGATTCATAATTTAACAATTTTACAATTAGTATATTGAAAATTATTGTCCAGTTTATTACATTGATAAAATAATTACTATATTCAAAATAGTTGGATGAATTTCTATCTGCTAGTATTCAATTTTGGTTTAATTTTAAACAAAGCAAATTTTACTTGATTAATAGGTTTCTGTAAGTTTATATAACTGAATATTAGGAAATGTAAATATTCCAAAATATATTTCATATATGATTTCATTTTCCATAATACCAATTACTAAAGTGTTATTTTTGAATTTGAACTTAAAATTTTTTGGTTCAAATTAGTACTATGCGATTTCTTTATTATTACTAATTAAACAGATTTGTCCAATTTCAATTTTTTCATAGTTTGATTTGAATTCAAACTTGATTATATTAAATTTGCTATTAGAATACTCAATTTAAAAAATATCTTCTAAATATTGAAAAAGCATAGCATTTGATTCATTATTTTATGAACTCTATTGTTCATGATTATTCAACATTTGAATTAAGTTTGTAGACAAATTTTGCTCTAGTATTTAGTTTTGGTAATTATAATTATATATATAATTATCCATTTAAATATATAAATTATTGCTTTTTCATTATTATTTTATAACTTACTTTAGAATGATTGTATTAATAGTTCAATAATCTTAATTTCATATTTTAAAGTATATTGTCAATAATAATTATTTATATTAATTTTAAAGATAAATAAAAAGCAGACATTTTTAAATAATAATGGCTCATTTTTTCTTATCAAAGAAAATACAACTAGTTTTAAGTTATTAATTTCTAAAGCTCACTATTATATCAGTTTAATTAATAATTAATTCTTATTGATAAATTAAAATTGATTTCTATAAGGATTGGTATTCAATATCTAATTTTATTCAGATTTTATATTAAATATATCTGTATAAAATTTACGAATATTTTCTAAATAAAAATTATGTATATAAGAAAATAATATATAATCTAAAGTATTAGTACTGATAAGAATAAATTGAAATTTTATATATTCCATAATAGTAATAGAATTTTAGTAATAAATCTTTAATTTTTATGATAAGTAAAATAATAAATACTTTTAAGATGGAAGACGTAATTTGGTTTATCAAAAATTATAAACGGTTGAAATAAGCTAAATGATTGTAAATGATATATCTTGGTATAAAATGATTTATGAATTAGATAAAATGGAAGTCGTATAAGTTGTATAAGTAAATATAATTGATTGATCAAAATAAGTTGATTGAAATTGATAGTTATATTACTTTTTATGTTTTTATTCTAAAATTAAATATGCTTTTTTAGCCTTTTTAACCATAATATTATTTGAATAAAAGCATATCAAATATTTAATCAAGATATAAGTTTCATTATTAATGTTCACTCTTTTAAAATATTACAAAAAGATTTAAATTCTAGAGTTATATCATAACTTTTTTTTAAATGAAATAAATATTTAAATATGATTTATGTATAATTATTAAAAGAATCATTGACTTAGATACTTCTTTTAGATATCCTAAGATCTTTATAGTAATGTTTCTTAACTTGCAACTCCATATTATATAATTGGATTAGTAACAATATATGGTGGAACATAAGGTGTTTCAAACTAAGGTTAATAGCAATACATTATGTTATTAGGTTAAATAGTATTAAAAGCATAAGAAGTTGAATAAAAATTAGCTGAGAGTTTTTCAATATTCTCGAAATTAGGTGTTGCATAATAATAATGATTTTGTTATTATTCTTCTTCTTTTACCAAATCAAAGGATTCATTTGATACTTCTTTGATTTTTTTTTGCTTACGTTTATGGCCACTATAGTATTCTTAATATTGATCATAATTTGAGACCTAAGAAGGTTTTTTCTAAACTATATTAAAAGCATTTTTGGATATTTTATCTTGTTCATTTATAACATTCCTAAATTAAGATATTTCAATCTAATAATTGTTGTCCTCTATTTTTTCTAATTATTTTGATAAATTTAGATTTATATTATATTATACTTTATTAAGTAATTTCTTTTTTTTGCTTTGATTATGCCTTACTTTTGAAGTATTTGAAAAAGAGAATTCTTAATTTTTTTAAGGAATTACATAGTATGGATTTTCAATTTTCAAATATTTCTTTCGCAAATATGAATAAAATCTATTTTTAATTACATTTTCCTAAATATTTTTATAATATACCGGTCTACCTTATAACATCTTAGAAATTTTACTCCATTATGATCCATAATTCTTATAACCTTCTACAATACGATTGTCTTCAGCATCTGTGAATGGCTCTTGATTGATTTCTGGATTTAAATTGTTTACATATCTTTCTCTCACTTATTTACTTGTTCTGTTTGGGATCTTTTTAGCAATTTAAACCCAGTTTTTTTTATGGAATTCAACTAATTTTAATAATAATTGATCTTCTTTTTGTGTCCAAAGTTATCTTTTTCTAAATACCTGATATAATATTAATAAATTATATACGTTATTTGGCTTTATTCTTTTCCATCTTTAAGCACATTGAGAAGGATTTCTATTTTATAAAGCTGATGCTACAATCAGCCAGTTCGTGCCATACAATTTTATAGCTTACCTTAGTTAATCGTCTTCTTGTTATGACCATGATCTTCTAGAATATTTATTTAAATTTCCAGACTCAGTTTTATTTTTATCTAATTCAATTGGATTGTCCTCATGTATATTATTGTTTTAAATTGATGATAAATGATCCATAAATATTATATTAAATATTATTTCAAAATACAAAAGCTATGTCTTTTATACAGCAAATATTTGACTGTCTCTTCTAAATAATTATCTATCTTATACTATTACTTAAGAATCAATTATATTTCTAAAAAATATGTCATAATTTTATAGATTAGCTATAACTCATCGACCAAACCATATTATTATATGTTAATCATTTAGAAAAATAATCTCATACTTCATCAATGAAAAACAGTTATAAATTTTTTTGTGTTTAATTCAATCTATAAATTAATTATCATATGTTTCATGATAATTATCCTCTAATATTCGAGATTGGATTTAAATAATTCATTCTATAATATTAATTTATTCATTATTGATCAAATACAAATAAAAAATATGATTTTCTTTGGCTACAATGCATTTCTCAACCAATTCTCTAATAGTCTAAATAAAATACACATATAAATTTTAAGGAATATATTTCAAAAGGGAAATTCCATTATTTTTAAAGATATTTGAACATTTACAAAAATATATTGCAAATTGTATTTGTGAAGTTAAGATTGATAAAATTAGAAAAATGATCATTTTTCCCCAATTAAAATTTCAAGAGATTTCATTTCACCTCACTTTAATTATTTTATAAAAAAAACATACAAAGTATTATTTATATTATTTTTTATGTATGATAGAATTATAATAATATTAAAAATAAGAAAGTAAAGGGAAATATTATTTTATTAATAATGATGCAAAATTGTGGAATTTGTTATTAAGATTAAAATATTGTAAAAATAGAATGTGGACATCTTTATTGCAAATAGTGTTTAAAATAACTTTTTGTTAAATAGCAAGAATTGGATCTAGATAATTTTAGATGCCCTTTAGATGAATGTAGAAAGAAATTAACTGATAAAACATTGGGTTTATTTATTGAAGATTTTTCAAAAAAATATGAAGAATATTTAAAATAAGGTGTTTTATTTGGATTAAAGGATAATGAAAAAATGATTTCTTGTTTAAATAAAAATTGTAATTCTTAATTTATAATATGGAAGGATGCAGGTATTTATTAAAATTCATTATAATGAGATACTTTAAAATGTGCATATTGCAAATTAGAATATTGCTTAAAATGCAAATTAGAAAGACATGATGGGTATAAGTGTATCTAAGCATTAAGATTGAATCAAGTAACTAAAACTAGAGCAGTATTTTTGGAATAAATTAAATCTTCTAAATAGTAACAAATTTGTCCACATTGTTTAACAGCTGTTGAAAAAAATAAAGGATGTAATTTTATGACATGTTAATCTAAATCTTGTAATTCAAAAAAATACTTCTGCTTTAAATGCGGAGAACCTTTAAAATACTCTGAGTCAACAAGTCATTTCGAAAATGGAGATTCTTTTAATGGAAGATGTAATCTAAAAGTAAATGGTTAATGGGTTGAACAAAATAAATTACCTTAAAATACTATTCCTTGTCCCTAATGCTTAAATGTCGATCCTTTATATAGTAAAATAGAAGGAAATTTGTTAATATGTAATAGTGAATTATGTTCTGATAAAATTTATTGCCATTTCTGTAAAATTGAATTAAATAACAATACTATTTTAGATCATTTAGAAACTCATAAAAAAGTTAAAAAAAACTTTTTGTCGCCTATTATTAAATTGTTTTTTAAATGAAATATATATTTATCTTAATTAAGATTATTAATTTTATTTATAAAATGAGAGTTATTCAATATAATAATGCTCATCCAAAATTATAATAAATTTAATTAATAATGTTGAATTACACTTATGCTAGTAAAATTTGTGAACATGAGAACGTACTTTGAATGCAAATTAATATTTCTTTAATAAAATGGAAATCATCTCATTATGATTTCATATAACTATTATTCTCAAAATCATTTGAGCATAAACTTAAAAAACTTTTATTAAGATTGTCATATCTATCAAATCAAAATCAATATTCAGAACTGAGTCCATAATTTTCAGAAAATCTATAAGTTTATTTTTGATAATTTATTAACTGCTATTTAACAGATTATTTTTTTTAATTATCTTTTTCAAAAATATGGCTAATTCAAGAGAACAGCCACTCTCTAAAGGTGATTATCATAATAGAGTTCCAACTCATAATTATAATAAAACTATTAAGACAATCTATAATGATGAACGTAAGGATCTTGAAAATTATGTGTAAATTCCTAAGAAAAATAAGGTTCATTTCGAAACTGAAAATCAAGTTAGAAATAATCAATAATATTATTAAGACAATAATCAATTTGATGATCCATTTTCAAATAATCCATATTATAATAAAGCTGCTTTAGATAAGGTTTGTAACAGATCAATAAAAACATATATAGATAAACAAAATTAGGTTCAAGACAATAATGAATAGTAAAGAGATAATCATAATTAAAATTAATAAAAATATAAATAAAATGAACCAATTTCTTAGTATTATAATAATGAATATAGAAATAGATATTAGGAAATCAAAAATTAATATTATAATTAAAATCATTAATATAAATCTATTTTATCACCAAAAGTATATTCCCAAGATTAATTTGATTAATAAGAATAGTAGTAAATACCTTTAAGCAAATAACAATCAAATTAATAATTTAAAAACAAGTAAGCAAATTAAAGTCTTTATGAAAATCCTTCATTTGGATTAATTTAAGACTAGTAATAAATATATTAGCAATCGTAAAATTAACCAATCTAACAATAATTTCCTTATTCATAATACCCATCTCAAGATCAACCCAGTGAAAATAAACAAAAATATATTTAAAATTCAACTAGACAATAATATAATAATTCTAATGAGAATTATTCTTAAATTGAATTCTAATAATAAAAATAATGTACTACATATTAAACTTAATCTACTTAACAATAATTTTAAGATTTGCCAATTCAAAAATAATAGTAATTTCACTAAAGATTGCAATATTTAGAAGAATTGAAGAGTAGACTACCTAAATATGATATTTTTTAATAATAAGTTGATACAAGAATACCATAAAATGAACAATACTATAGATAAGTACAAAATGAGAGAATAAATAAAATTAATCCAGTTCCTGCTGTTAGTAGAATGTAAAGACCAAATGAAATTGATTAAGATAAATATTATTAAGTTTAAGATCATCAAAACTAATATCCTTAAAATAATAGAAATTATTTACATTAAAAAAGATAAGATTATTAGGATATTTAATTTTAGCATAGAAATAATTCTAATTAATATATTAACCTTTATAGCTCTAATTAATCAAACAATATTCGTGAGAATAATAATAATTAATCTTATTAGAGATAGAACTATTAATAATAAAAGACTAGAACACCTAATCGATATAGAGAAGACAGTTATGAAAGAGACAAATAATGTTTTATGTAACAAACATCACATATACATAAAAATTCATAAACTATCAATTAAAGAAGATGAATAAATATTTTGTATTTAATATTAAATTACTATATTTATTATGTATAATTTAAAATGATTATATCAAAATTCAAATGATAATTAAAGCCTACTAATTGAGAAACTTCAAATAATTCATAATAAAATAATAATTATCCATAAAATCATATTTATCAATTTAATTAAGTTTATTAAAGATGATAATTGAGCACAAGCGGAATTCATTGGCCATGGTAATTTATCCATCAAACCAAATTCATTATTACAAATAGAATTCTATTTTTGTTTTTCTACCCATTAGACTAAAGTTTGATAAACTGTTCTATTTGAACCTTCAGGAATTGTCCAATTAGAAGAAAATGATAACTAACTTAAAAATAAACTAGTTTAAATTAATGAAATACCAATCTGAAATACAGCTAGGAGCAAAAGACCCTGTATTAGAATTATTAATCAATGATTCATTTATCACTTGACGATATGTTGAGAAAACAAGATCAATAAAATCCTTTTCATTTTTCTAACAATTTTTAAGTGTTAAGTCTTTTATACATTTTATATTGAGATAGTTGTATAGAAAACTTATATCATAAAAGGGCTAGATAATAAATACTGGTTGTTTAATATATTGCATTAAATTTTAGAAATAAAAACATTTCCAATTCTAATTAGGAAAATTGTATGCACAATTCTTTTGAGGAACTAAGGTTTCATTATTAGCAATGTAATTCATAATCTTTAAGGATTATTACAATAAATTTGATCCATTTATTGATTGCATATCAAATAATATGCTTGAGTCAGAAATACATAATATTAAGATATTTTCTGGAACCAATGAAGTAAGATACTATTCCCATTATAATGCTGCTACTCCTCCAATGGAACAACCAGATAATATTATTATTTCAGCTTTTTAAAATTTTGTTATAAAATGGTCAAAAATGCTTCTTATTATTAATTCACCTCTAAAATATAATAAATTTGATTAGTAATTAACTTAATCACTTTTATAACCTTAAAAGCCTACAATTATAATAATTTATTAATACCACCTCCATCACAATAATTTATGTGAATTAGATTCCAATTATGGAAATAGTAATTTTTTAATTTATCCTAAGATAATATTCCATCAAACTCAAAAGCACTAGCTCTATTTAATGAACTTCCCTGTTAAGTTTACATCCTTAATTAAATTCATATTTAAACTTTTCAATAGCATTGATTAAAAATTATTCTTCAGTATTTCCTAAAATAAACCTTGCATTATATAGCATACTTACTCTCCTCCCTCAAAATAAATAATAAATTTATTCTAACCTCCTTCAAAACCTTATTGAAAGTAATAAGACTATAACTAATTTGAAATAATTACTCCTAATGTACCATCTAAGCATTTTGCTCTGTCATCTTAAACAAATTATAATTAGAGCAAGAAGCAGCATTATAGTTATTGAAAAAAAATAAGAAGCATTAATTATTTAAATTAATTTACTTTATTCTTATTGTTTTGAGTTAATGTATCATCAATATACTAAATTTTAATTTCTGATGATGGTTGCTATATTTATTTTCAATATAATTAACAATAATTAAATATGGAACCACATTTTTTATAATTTAATGATGTATTGATAAATACTTAGAGAAACTAATGATATTCTTTTTTAGTGTATTAGAATTTAAATTCAATATATTAGCCAATATTTGAGTCTTCTTATAAAAAAAATAAAAATACTTATCTTTTATATTAAATCGAGATATAAATTTTTGGACAATAAACTAGTTTCAGATTTATAGAGGAATTAAAAATGTAATTACGATTATCTTAATAATATGCATAAATGGAATATCTTAAAATTACAGAATAAATATCGGAAAATACAACTGTAATATTTCATTTGAAGTTTAAAATTATTTAATTTTTATCTTAAAATAGCTCGTTGTTTGGTAAGTAAATAATCAGATCAAATTATTAATGTCTTATGAAATACATATAAATAATTACTTCAAAATGATATAATAAAATTTTATTTTTGTTAAATAAAGTACAATTCAACTTGAAATTAGAGATTGATAAGTTTTTTATCTATTTTTAACTGATTAGGCATAGTTTAAAGGATAGCTATATAAGTTTTCACTTAATTATAATAAGTTAAATTTTATCCCAGCAATTTTAATATATTCAACTTTTTAAATCTATTTATTTGTTATATAAGTGCTAATGATATTAGTTTAAGACTATTCTTAAATAATATCATAGAGTTAGGGACAAATTCGCTTATATTGAATGAATTTTTGAAAAGTTTAGTTACTTATTTGAGTCTGACTTTTATAAAAATTATAATTATAAATATTATATAGATATCATCTTAACCTTCTTCTTCTTATCTTCTTTTGTTTTAAGAATTCTGGCTCATTATTATATTGAATCTAGAATTTTTATTAAATTTAAGATAGTGTAACGAAAAGATATTAATAATTTTAACTTAAGATGAGATGTTTAATATTTGAATATATCCAACAATTTTTTATAAATCACTCAAATGAGGCTTATTAACTTTTCATAACCTCTCCATATAATCTTTAGAATTTTGCGTACACCTTCAGGTAATTTTGTATTTTCACTTAATTTATCAGCATACCATACTCTAATATATGCTTGGGCATTTTTCATATTTTTATTAAATTTAGTTTTGAGTAAGACATTTTAGAAAATAATTATTGCATGCATAAATGATGTTTTTTTTAAGAAGATTCCAAATACACAATAAAGGAATAAGTAAATCTCTATTTTCTATTTGGTTAGGATTACTTCACTTCTATTATTTTTAATATACCTAGCTATTTTCAATGAAATTCCTTATTATGGATTAATTTATGTCCAAAACTCTGCAGCTCCAACTAAAAAATGTAAAGCAATTGGCATTTAAAATGCAAAACTATCAATCGTAAATAAAGAAACGATATAGAAAATATTTGATGTGAATTCAAGTTATATAATTTTTAAAATATAATCTTTGTAATTATTTCTATTAGGTAGTCCTTATAAACGATGTATAGCAAGCAAGCAAATAAAGATAGATCCAAAATTTAAGAATTTATACAATTAAGGTGAAAATAAGAACAATAATGCAGGAAAATATAATACTTTAAGTATTCCTTCTATAACTGTTAAAATAGGAATAGATGGTAATTATTATCTATATTATTGTTGTTATTATTATTATTATTATTACTATTATTATTATGATTACTATGATTATTATGATTACTAATAATTTTCTTATTTTTATGATTAAGTGTTTGGATTAGGATTTTAAGATTCTGTATTGATATCAAATTCTGGGTCAATATATTTTTTATACCATTTGCGTTTAATTTTATCTATATTTGGAGGCAAAGGATATACATTTAGTAGATATTACTAAAAATTTTCATTTCCGTCAAAATCGAATTTACTATATGCTTCCATAATTAAAAAAAATAATATGACTAATTTAGATCAAATTGGATTTATACTATCAAATGACAAAGATTGGCAGAATCTAGTGGAAAAATGTTAGAGCATAGACAGCAATATAAAAAATATGCAGACTAGACTTACATTTACAATAGGATAAATGAATAAGGAAATTGGGAATCGGCATATAATACCTGCATATTAAGTGGAAGAAGAATAAAATAAAGAAGAAAGTCCTTTGCCTTAATAGGGTGAATCACCTAGAAAGAAACCTGTAAATTTAGTGAAACAAGCATAAGTTCTAGCTCCAGTGTATTCAACTATAAGTGAAAGATTTTAGATATGTAAATTTTTGGGAAAAGGAAAATTTAGTGATGTTTATTAGGCATAAGATAAATAATCAAAAATAATTGTTGCATTAAAAGTTATTCCAAAAGCCACAATATAAAAATATGGGATGGAAAAATAATTGGCAAATGAAATTAAAATTTAAGGATATTTAGATCATCCAAACATACTCAAACTTTTTGGATATTTTTAAGAATGGTCAAAAGTAGTTTTGATTCTAGAATATGCTACTGATGGTGAGCTATTTAAGTTATTAAAAAAATAACCAAAAAAGAGATTTTCAGAATAAACTGTCTCTGGATATATTAGATAAATTATTGAAGGTATAGGATATATGCATAGCAAAAATATTATTCATAGAGATATTAAACCAGAAAATATATTAATTACTCATTCATTATTAAAAATAGCTGATATGGGATTATCAACTTATAATCCTACAAATTAAGTTAGATAATCTTTTTGTGGTACTGTAGATTATATGTCTCCTGAGATTGCAGCAGGGAGAGATTATGATCATACAGTAGATTTATGGGCTATTGGAATTTTGGCTTTTGAATTATGTACTGGAGAAACACCTTTTTATGAGAAAAAAAAAGAAGATACTATGAATAAAATTATCTATAGTGGATTTGAATTCCCAAATTTTATAAGTGAAGAATGTAAAAACTTTGTGCGTGCTTTAGTTTAAAAGGATCCTAAAAAAAGATTAAGCATTTTTTAAATTATGTAGCATTCTTGGATTCAAAAATATGAAAAAGAAAGTACTATTTTTAATAGGGATTTGCTAAATTCTATGGTTAAACTTTTAAAATGATAATAAAGATCAATTTTGTAATCAATCATCAAAATTCAACTCAATTATCACATCTAAGTCTTACTAAATATTTATTATGTTTTATGATTAAACTAATACTTCTTAATCATTATATCCTACCTATATATTTTCTTAGATTTGAGTTTTTAAAACTAACAAAGGAAATTGAAAGATCTATTCTTATTCGTCTAAATCTAAATTCTAATTTCTAAATACTAATTTATCTAATTTGGCTTATCTTTTGGTTAAATGAGAAAACACTTTTCTCTTTTCTTATAAATTTTACTCAATAAGAAATTTTACCATTGATAAATTATCAATTTATCTTCTTATTTCTTAATTTTGAAAATTATTTGAGTTCTCCATAAATTCATATGTTTTATCACATTTCTTTATTATTCCCATAGCCATCATAACGTTTAAACAATCGTATACTCTTCTAGATTGATTTACAGTATTTGTCTAATAAAAAATAATATAAATATTACACTTTATGGATGTAATTTCTTAATTTCTGATAAAATTAATTATAAATTTGTTTTTTTTTGATTTTTTATGATTTCACAAACACTTTTACTCATTTCTTTAAGTCCTAAACACCCAAAATGTTCTGATATAGATTAAAAATTTCTAGTTTTTGAATTTGAATGTTCTGGGAAACCTAATGAAAGATTAGTATCAAATGTTGGTTGCTATTGTTCGCAGCCTATTGAAGAACAATCGCTAGTAAACAAAAACATCAAATATAATATTATATATAATAAAATATAATAATTATAGAACATATTTTTAAAGATAATCACAATTGATTTTTATTAGTCATGCATGCATAGATTTAGTATTAATTTTAGCTTTATTAGCTATTCTTTCATCAGTTTTTCTTTAAGATTTACAAGAAGGTGAAACAGCATCTCTTAATAAAGGACTTTTACATAAAGAGCTTTTACATTTGAGTGTATTAGTACAATTATGTTAACCAAAAGGCTGCTTTTATTTTGACTTTGTTTTCTATTGCATTTTGTATTTCATAATTCCCTACTCTATTATTTTAATGTCTTTTTTTATTTTATTAGATGAATTAGATTTAAAATCTTTTATACTTGAAATTGATAAAGATCTATCAAAAATAGATATATTATCATTTATTTAAGTTGCAATTCTTTTATTTGACTTGAAAACCTTTTTAGTATTTACTCCATAATATTTATGATTATCTAAATTGAATTATTATTCCAAAGATTCTAATTTGATATATTAATCTTATTTATCAATTCCTGATTTAAATAGTTGTTATAAATTTTATAATATTTCTTTTTTATTTTATTCAGAAGCCATTTTCTCTTTACTAATCCCTGTAAATATTATTTAATTTTAATCTTCCTCAGACATATATATATTCAAACATAATTTATCTGATTCTATTTTATCTATCATCTTGAAATTTTTGTTTAAAAATTCAATCAATTAAAATGGTTAAGCCTACTATTATTATTATTATGATATTTCAAAAATGCTATCATTTCTTTTAGAGATCTTTACTTTCTCTAGACTAATAACTTTGTTTATGTCAGGACTTTAATTAAGTTTTCGATCTGTAATTAATCCAATTTCTAATTTTTTATTATCACCTCTGAAACTAGTTCTTAAAGAAGAATTTGGAAGTCCAGGAGAATTAACTCGTCGGAAAGAACCTAGTTCATTTCTATTGGAAGGAATAGAACTATGTGTTGAATGAATCATATATTATTGGCAATATTTGCTCATTTTACAAAATAAAATCGTTAATAATTAATGATAAAAGTCAAACTTAATAATAAAAATGCAGAAATAATTTCATAATATGAAGATTTACAAATATTTATATTCAACAAATAAGTAAATTGATTAAAATAAGTTATTAATAAACTATGTGTATGGATTTATTAAAATATTTTGTTTATTTAATTTTAGAAAGAATAAGACTTTTAGAAACCAAAAACATATAATTAATAAATTATAAAATCATTTTTTTTTCTAAAGTTGTTTTTAAATATCCAAGGCTTATAATTAAATCAATTTATTATTTTTAAACATTTCAATTACTTCTTTTAAATTTTAAAAGCATTACAATCTTAATAATGAGGTTTTATAGGATTATAAATCATCCCTCAATTCATAAACTAATATAATTAATTAACTAAGTAAAGCTAAATGAAGTAGATATGCTTCTACATTCCCTTATCTTACTATTACTTTATTTACTACATTTTTATGAAATGCTTAACTGATTCCTTCCAACAGATTAGCTTTAAATAATATAGCTTAAACTTATTTTTCTTAAGCAAATAAACATAATTATTTCATAATAGAATAAAATATCTATTAATAAAAAGGATTAGGTAATTGATGAAATTATTCATTTAAATTAAATGAAGAAGTATCATTGAGCTTTAAATAAATTCGATGATTTCTTTATTTAAAATTTCTTAAAATTAAATCAATTATTTTTGTGCTAAAAATTCTTATACTTCCAATATGATTTTGATTAGAAAAGAATTCTTCCTTACTTATTTTTTCATTCTACATTTTATGCATATTAGTTAAATTTCTGCATATTCTTGGTAGATATATAAAATAAAGTTTGCTTAGTTTTTCATTCATAGGTTTTTTATTAATTCTTTAAATTAGATCAATAAGAATAATTTAACAATTATTTGAACTATTTTCTTCATATGAACTTTAAAATAAGGCTGTTTAAGTAAGAGAATAATGATTTAATAGTTTTTCAAATAAAATATACTAATCGTCTAGAAGTTCATCAAATGCATAATGATATTCAAAATTTTACATTGATTAAATAATAATCTTTAATAGATTACTATTTCTTAATGATGTTATTTCATCATTTTAGGTTTCATATTTTGCATATTCCTCTTTCATTATTGTGTCCACAACACTATTATCTTAATTTGGATAATAAACAAATAATTTAGCCTAAGAAGTTGGTGTTTACATTAAATTAATTTATCTGTAAGTTGAAATATTATCTATATTATTTATTAATAATTACCACTAGTACCAACCAAACTCATATACTAAGGTTGATCAGATCTTTTATTAATTGTTTAACCTAAATTGTTTTCAGAAAATGTCATTGATTTTTGTTTACGTTGAGTATTTTTTGATGTTGTTAATTCAGTAATTATACATGCAGGCTAAATATTTAAAGAAGGAAGTCTAATAGAGTTTTGTAATTAAATAATATTTAACGGAGGTTCTGTTGCTTAGGATCTTTATGATCGATGTTCAAATTAAATATTTTTCATTCCTTCTGAAGCTTATCTGTATACATTATATAAAGTGGGAGTTTCAGCAGGAGTACTAATTTCCTTATAAAATTAAACTACATCCTATAATCTATCTATATCTTTGCCTTATTGATTTAATTCAGATAAATCAATATTTTCTTGAATAATAACTTTATTGATTTATCTTGTTAAACTTTATAAGTCTGAACCTCTTCTGAGATGTGAACTTAATAACATTTTTCTTTCTAAAAGTTGCTTATTTTAAATCAAAGTTTTTCCTGGAATCAAAGGACCCAAATATTGATCAATATTACTACTAATAGAATATGTTATTGCTGCTTAATCATCATCTTGAATTAATTGTAATTTATAGTCATTAATATGTTTTAAAAATTAATAGGCTTCTTTTGTAATATCTTTCCTTTTATTAAATATTCCTTCTTTTTCCTTATTTGTTATCTTACTAACAAGCAAAGTAATATATCCTTAACGATTGAGGAATTACCAAATATAATTTCTTAAATCCTAAGGAATTTTTGAATAATTGGGATCCATAAATCTCATAAGAAAATCTAAATAATGGGGATTATCTAATATAATAAATATTGCAAATACAAAGATAATCTAAAAATTACTGATGAAATTAAAAGTAAAGAAAATTATAAACGGTTTCTTTCAATTCATACTTTAAATAAAACTAGAGTAGACCAATAATATGAGTCAAATTTCCACTTGATTATGAGTTTTAAAAAAATCCAGATATACTACGGACTAAAATTGATTTCATTAATTACAAGCAATTTGCATAGTATGTGAGTTAATTTACATTATCATTTGATGATTATGGTAATCTGTTAGAAATAACATAGCTTTATAGGATCTTAGAGTAGTTAATTTATCTGGTTTCATTACATGTTATTTGTATTGATTATCATCACAGGGCTATTGAATATCATTTGCTAAGGCATCTGTTGCGAAGATTAATCCTGGTTCTGTAGCCACAGGATTAGTTATATAAGCAAATAAGTTTTATAAAGCATCTATGTCTGCTAGATATTCACTTTACTCTGAATCAATTCTTGGTTTATGTTAAATTAAAATTTCATCAAGATTCACTTCACTTCCTTGAATTGAATCATCAGAATTGTTATTATTTATATGATCATTATTGAGCTACTATTTGGAAGGCATTTTGGAAGATAATGATTAAGATTAAAGGATATTCATTGCCATTAATGACATTTTTGGTTTTGAACCTTTTCTTGCTTAACTACCTTTTTCTTATAATTCAATGGCCACATTTTAATAATGAAATTCATTTGAATTCTTTTAAACCTCCTCTTGGTATAATTTTAATACAGCTATTCTTTAATCAAATAATTTTAATTACTTTCTTCAACTAGCTAATTTAATTGATTTGCAGATTTCATTCTATGTCCTAATTATTGTTAGATTTATCCTACTTTTTTCATAATTGCCCTTACTAATTTTTCATTTTCTGCATTTTAAAGAAATATAATGAAAGCATAACATTTATCATCAACATCAAAACTAATATTAATTACTTATATTATTACTCTAATTCAGAGATTTCAATTAAAACAGTTTCTAAAAATTCTAAAGCTACATATTTTCCATTTCCTTGATTTGGAAGTTAAGCATATTCTTCAATAGCTTTAAAGCAACCATCAATCCATTCCTTTGAATGCTTGAATATATTTAGTAATGACATTAAAATCATATCTATAGTATCTGGTATTAGACTATGCAATTATAATAAAAATCTAATAATCCTAGGTTCATTTATCAAACTATGCTTTTGTGGAAATGGAATAGTCTAATTGATGAATTTCAAAATTGGTAACACTTTAGATAGGATATCGTTTTATTTTAGAGCTAACTCAAATGATTTTACTAAACTCATTCTAAAAATATAAATTGAATTTTTGAACTAGTATTTCTGAAAATATATATATTATTATCATTTATGAATAAATATACATAAAATAATAGAAATCATTTTTTCCTCTAAGTTGATGGTTTTTTTATTTGTATTGATTCTTATGGTATCTGAGCATAAGGCATTTTTTCATTAATTAAATCTACACTTTTGGCTGTATTAAAATCAGCAAGCTCTAACAATTAATTTTAAATTTTACAATCATTAATTGCATCTTTTCCTTTCATAAGTATACCTTTTGGTAATCTTTTATCTGGACAGGCACCTTTTAATTAGATTATACTTTCTCTTTCTTCTCTAAGTGTTCTTTACATTTTCATCATAGTAGATACGAATTTGATTTTATTCTTCAATTTTTCAGTGTCTATTTATAATATATATATATAAATAATTTACTTTTTTATGCTCCTTATGAACTACCTGTTGTTGATTATTTTTATAAACCACCCTATTTGGTCAATTATTTAAATTACTATATATCTGATTCACTAATTTATTCATCATCATCTCCCTAAATATCTGTTTATAATATATTATATAACATTTCAGTTACTAAAATTATATTATAATATGATATTACTTTTTTCAGCCACAAATGGAATTGACCATGTAAATATATCCATAAAGTTTGGTAATAAATATGGATGAGGTGTATATTAATATTACTGAATATTCAAAGTATTATTTTCAAATTTAATGACTGCTCCTCTGTTATTATAGACATCACAATAATTTGGAGCACTAAAAATAGTAATTACAACTGGAAAGTCTTAACCACCATTCCATCTATGCATTTTATATCCATCTAATTAAGCCTTTTATTATTAATTTATTTTACTTCATGAGCTCTGATTATAGAAATTAAATTATTCCTTTATAAAAACTTATTTGCTGAATCTCCACCAAAAAACCAACTGCATCCTCTTACTTCATTTGATTTCCATGCAGTATCTAAATAACCCTATTCTTAATCAACAGGATCACTCCATAATAAATCACAAAATAATCCTTATCTAGGAGGTTCATGATATCTTTCTATCTTTTTGATATCTTCTATTGATTTTAAATCAGGAGATATTCCACCATGAATTGCAATAAATTTAGAGTTTATTATGCATGCCAATGGAAATAAGTCAAATGAATCCATCAACATCTCATAAGTCTCTTAATCATATTTATATAAACATTCTTCTTTAAAATTGAAGAATGCTGTTAATTATCTACATTCATGATTTCCTCTTAAAAAATATACTGTATTTTGAAAATTCAATTTTATTGCATACATCAATATTATTACTTCTATTGAGTATGAACCTCTATCTACAAAATCTCCCAAAAAGAGATATCTATTATTTTTAATATTTTTCAAATTTACTTTGTGTTTTCAGGATTTCCTCCCACTTTAGGCTCTAATAATTTCAATAAGTCATAATATTAACTAAGATTGAATTTCAATATATTACCCATGGATATCGCCAACAACAGTTAGAGGATCTTACAAATATATTACATTCCCTTCATTTTCTAATAATAACAATAAATTTATACTCAATAATTTATTACAATCAGCAACTAATTTAAATAAATCCTCTTTAGCAATTCTACCTTCTTTTTGTAAATGATCTCGTAACAATTTCCAATCAGGTTTGTCTATTGTTAATTTTTTGATTACTTTTCAATTTATCTGGAAACATTAGATTCCTTGACAATGGACGATGAGGTGGAGGCTTTAGTGTTTTCACTTATCGATCATTGACAGGATCTTTCAGAAGGTCCATTTATTAATTAATTTATAAACAAAGAAATATGAATAATAAAATAAATAAACTATAAATTATATAATCATTTCTTACATCTAATTATTCTATGTCTAACCTTAAGAGAATCTATTAATTTTAAAAGATCTTTATTATTCATTTTATATTGATTTTTCACAATTGACTCTACATGTAATGTTGTAAACCTTTATGGATTCGATTAAACTTGTAAATAATTAAAATGAGAAAAAGATGCTTAGGTAATTGATTTTGCATTATTTTATTTTATCAACTTCTAATTTAAATAACTCAAAGGTTTCAAATGAATTTCTGATTTTGGAATAACGTCTTTTAACATTTTATTCATATACAATGAAACTTAACTTTTTCTAGGTTCTCTGGCACTATTTATTAAATGATTAAAAAAAGTTTCATCATCAGGAGTAGTTTTAATCCTTACTTTTATTACAATTAGTACCTCTATGATTATCTTGATTGAGGAATACTAATTAATTATTATTACTATAAATGAGTTGAGGCAGTAATTTAAGATTTTTTTACTGTTGTTAAATTTCTCATTGCTTTTAGAATATGCATCCTTTTTCTAAATTTTTTAATAGCCTCCACTTTATATGATAAAATAAAAATAATAGCATTAATTGCTGCTTTAAATCTTTTTAAAACTCTCTTTCTTTTCTACCATCTTGAAATTTATTAATTTTTTACCTTGTTCCATTAAATGGGTATTGTTTTTTTATTGTCCCAATAAATTAACTGCATTTTCCACATTCTGTACAATCACAACTCAAATCAGTTTTAATATATTCTTTTTCTAACATTGCTTTATTTAAATAGAATAAAGTTCTCTTCTTTTTTTATGTTAATTTTGAAGGTTTGTTTTTTAATGTTCTAACATGTTTCAACTCATAAAATTCATTTTAAGAAAGAGAGTTTTCAGACATTTATTTATAAATAAATATCCTTAAATAAAGAATTAAGACTTAAATTGATTTAATTCAATCAGATTTAGAATTATTATTGTTGTCTACAAAAAAATCTCTATTTTGTATACATCATCATTGTTTTATTAAATGCGACTATGCATTTCAACATTTATTCATATGCTATCTTTTTACTATTTAACACAGGTATATAAAAGAATATTATTGATATATAAATAGTGTAAATTATATTCATATTTTATTTGATTTTTGCATTATAAATAATATAGAATGAGCAATTAATAAAAAATTAAGTAAAGATCAAATGANATGAATAATAAAATAAATAAACTATAAATTATATAATCATTTCTTACATCTAATTATTCTATGTCTAACCTTAAGAGAATCTATTAATTTTAAAAGATCTTTATTATTCATTTTATATTGATTTTTCACAATTGACTCTACATGTAATGTTGTAAACCTTTATGGATTCGATTAAACTTGTAAATAATTAAAATGAGAAAAAGATGCTTAGGTAATTGATTTTGCATTATTTTATTTTATCAACTTCTAATTTAAATAACTCAAAGGTTTCAAATGAATTTCTGATTTTGGAATAACGTCTTTTAACATTTTATTCATATACAATGAAACTTAACTTTTTCTAGGTTCTCTGGCACTATTTATTAAATGATTAAAAAAAGTTTCATCATCAGGAGTAGTTTTAATCCTTACTTTTATTACAATTAGTACCTCTATGATTATCTTGATTGAGGAATACTAATTAATTATTATTACTATAAATGAGTTGAGGCAGTAATTTAAGATTTTTTTACTGTTGTTAAATTTCTCATTGCTTTTAGAATATGCATCCTTTTTCTAAATTTTTTAATAGCCTCCACTTTATATGATAAAATAAAAATAATAGCATTAATTGCTGCTTTAAATCTTTTTAAAACTCTCTTTCTTTTCTACCATCTTGAAATTTATTAATTTTTTACCTTGTTCCATTAAATGGGTATTGTTTTTTTATTGTCCCAATAAATTAACTGCATTTTCCACATTCTGTACAATCACAACTCAAATCAGTTTTAATATATTCTTTTTCTAACATTGCTTTATTTAAATAGAATAAAGTTCTCTTCTTTTTTTATGTTAATTTTGAAGGTTTGTTTTTTAATGTTCTAACATGTTTCAACTCATAAAATTCATTTTAAGAAAGAGAGTTTTCAGACATTTATTTATAAATAAATATCCTTAAATAAAGAATTAAGACTTAAATTGATTTAATTCAATCAGATTTAGAATTATTATTGTTGTCTACAAAAAAATCTCTATTTTGTATACATCATCATTGTTTTATTAAATGCGACTATGCATTTCAACATTTATTCATATGCTATCTTTTTACTATTTAACACAGGTATATAAAAGAATATTATTGATATATAAATAGTGTAAATTATATTCATATTTTATTTGATTTTTGCATTATAAATAATATAGAATGAGCAATTAATAAAAAATTAAGTAAAGATCAAATGATTACTAGATTATAATTATCCTATGTAACAAAATTTTAATAATTTTAATATTTCATTTAAAACAAATTAATTATATATTGAATTGATTATTATTAGAAAATAGCTTTATTATTTATATCTTAAATTTCACAAAATGAGTTTATTAATTGAAAGTATAATTTTTATATACAATTAATTTAAAATAAATTAATTAATAATAAAGTTAAACATAAATTGTTAATAGTTCATTGAAGATAATCCAATTCTTCATCTTCAAAGTTTCTACCAATTATTTTACTAAAATATTACAATTAAATTACTCAAAAATTTCAGATTCTAAGTATTATTATTATTATGATTACTAATTGCCATTATTATTGCCAAGAGTAAATTATAATACACTTCGACCTACTTGCATTTCTATACCATTTAACTCTGTTATTAAGGGAATTACAGTTTATTGAATGAGAATTAATGTTCCAAATTTAGATTTATTATCTGTTAAATATATTTATCCATCTATTAATTTAAGTGTTCCATGATTTCTACTAACTGAAATATCATTTACTCTAATTTCAGTTTCATTAGCTCTTCCTATTTTTAACTCATTAGTTTTGATATTTTTGATTTCACCACTATTATTATCAAAAGATATAATATAAACTCCATTACATTAATTCCATTAAGTATCTTCACTCATATTATTTTCCTACATTTCCTTAATAATTATCAAAAATATAAATACTTCATATCTTTTTTGAGTAATTTCCATTAAAATATATGGATATTCTGTAGGTTTACTCAATTCTATTAAATCAAATACACCTTCATCACTTTTAAATATTGGTGGATAATTAAATTTACATAATTCACATTCTAAATTCTTCCACATATATATGATACAATGATCACTTTATTTGGTTTAGAATTTAGACTTTAACCATTTTTTTAAACAGTTAAGATGAATATATTTAATAGAACCAGTACATTTACAAGGATTAACAAGTGGATTTGATCTGCTAAATGCACTACTGCAACATACTCTACATGTAATTGCATCTGATTAGCTAGATTTTGCAGAATCTGAATCTTATCTATTAAATATAATATAATAAATAATACATTAATTATCTTTAATTTAATTGAATTTCTCTTATTTTGAATTTTACTCTTCCCATTTTAATGACATCTCCTTCCTTTAATTTAATTCCATTATTACTCATCATTGATTGCATAGATCTTACTACGACCCATAATTTACTTCCTTTTTCAATTAATTTAGTATTAGTTCTTTAACTCATACTGATTTTTTAATGATGACTATATTTCTTAATTAAATCATTTGGTTAATGAAATTCATCCCCCTCTAATTAATCTAGATTTTCAGATTATTAAAAGTCTTTATTATCACCATGATATTTTGTAGTTTATTCTTACTTGTCATCTTCATAATTTTATTTACATTCTCCTTTTTTATTTATTATACTAAAAATTCCATCATTTTTATCAATTCTAAATAGAATTTGTTCCTATTTAATTACACTCTTATTCCAATCTACATCATCATCAATCCATTATAATTCATTATTATTTTTAATTAAATATCCTCCCTTACTTATCTTTTATATTTTAATCCAATTACTTAAAAGTTCTATTCTTTCAAATGATTCTAGTTTTCATAATCAAAAAGTGAAAATGATTCTTTTTGCCAAGTTTTTATCTTTATAAACAAATCTTTAACAGCTCCTTCTTAATTATTAACCCTATAATCATCATTTGTTGCTATTTCTTGTAATTGTGTATTGTAATTAACTTATTCAGATTCACAGAACTTACGACACTGGCAACTTCCCATTATAAAATAATATATATATATAAATTAATATAAAATATATGGTATTTCAAACTATCAGAGCAAACCAACTTAAGAACAAATAAAATAGAATCACTGGATAAAGTGCTAATATTCTTTTCTATTCTGGAATTAATTATTTCATAAATCCAACTGCAGCTATAATATATATTATAATTATAATACAGTAGGTTGACCATAGAAAACAACCAATAACCAAAAACATCTTCAAATAAAAGAAGGAAAAGAAAAGAGTAAATAATGCTCCTAAATTTATTGGAAATACACAATATCCCAATACACAAACTGATTGGAAAAATGATCTTAAAATTTTATTTCTATATTTACACTTTTCCACCTAATAATTAAGCATTTAAAGTAACTACAAAGGATCCAACCCAAATAAGTACAAATATTGTGGCAAATATTCCTGGACCATCATCATTATTACCACTCAAACTTAAAGTTCTAAATGTCATACTAAAATATACAATGCTAACATCAAACAAAATACTAATGGTCCCCATAAATCCCCTACAATATCAAATATAATTCAATTACAATTTCTTAGTTCTTTGGCATTATTAGATGACATTGTCGGTACCAAAACGCATCTTAATTTTACTCCTATCTATCTCAAATCTCGAAGCTATTTTTTAAATTGATATATACCAATGTGACTGCTACACTTTCTTCTAGTGTACTTGATACCTGTAGGTCAGTTTATTTAATTGGGATTTCTTATTACTATGCTTAGACTTAATTCACTTAAGGCTAAAGATTTATAACTCCTTATATAGAGTTATTTGCTTAATTATCTTAAACTTCAAATTCCATTTTATTTTATAGATATAAATTATATTATAATCAATATCAACCACAACAGCCCTTCTTTTTTTTTGTAAGATTCTAATTTTAAATATTTATTAAATACTTTAAGTCTTAGATTGAGTTCTTATTTATCCTTTTCTTATTTCTTTAAATCATCCTCTAATTTTTATTTTTCAGCAATATTAGTTTAGTTAGATCCTTACTATTTATTACTGTTTTACATCTTCTCTAATTCATCTTTTAATCTCTTTTTTTCTTCATCTAATTTTTATTTTTCAACTTCTAATTTTTTTAATTATGTATCTTATTAGGATATATTCTATTCTAATAATTTAAATTAAGAATCATAATCTCGAATTTCTTATGCTAATTCTTAATTAATATTAGTCTAAGTTCCTCCCTTCTTATTTTATTTTAGTCTTATTGATTTCTCTAATTTTTTTAATAAATTTGAATGAGTTAATTTTAAATATTCATAAAGTGTACTTGCCTTTCTTGCTCCAGATGCTTATTTATCATAATTTAATAAAAAACTAAAATGAACTCAACTCTTACCTTACAAAATCAGCCGAAAAAAAATGTAAATCATCAGCAGTGTAGTTCTCTTTTTCTACATCATCCTATAATTTTTTGGTTTCTTATGCTATAATCTCTTAATTTTTTCTAAATAAAAATTTAAGATTTACAATTAATGATTTTCATCATTTTAATTTAATATTTCATTTTCAGTATTATTCATTAAATCTATAAGTTTTTATTTGTAATCTTCATAATGCTTATTCATTTCTCGTACTCCTGCAATAAGATGAAATGTATCAAAACATTCACTTCTAATTTATGATAATATTAAAAATGTTTCTTCTAATTTTCTATTATTTTTATTTTGAACAAAGAAACTATTAAAACTATTTTAATAATTTTTTCTTGCTAATTCAAAACCTTATTAACATTCATTCTTTAGAATACTATCCCATGCTGTATCAATGTTAGGAACACCACCTCTATTAATTACACTTATGTAATTATCTAACATTGCACAAAACATTCTTCCATTCACATTTTCAGAATGTATTTATTTTGGAGAACAATTGTTTAAAAGATATTCTTTTATTTATAACAACTTGAAATAATTTAAATAAAATTTACAGTCTTTTAAAATTCAGGTCTTAATTGATTAAGACTTAATTAATTAACTTTTGAAAGTTGAGTATCATCTATAGGAGTGATTAAAGGAAAACATTGTCTCTCCTTAAAAAAGTTAAGTAATGATTTTCTTATTTTTTTACTTTATTCATTTTATTTCATATATTAACTCTCATCTGTTAAACAATATTCCATATATTCTTTAGGTGTCAAATCTCTTTATTATTTATCTTTCATTTCAAGAACATAGTCTCTTAAAATCCAAACAAATTTAGGTGTAAAATATTTAATTTATGATTCATTAACAGATTCTTTATTCTAATCTTAAACTTAAATATTCTTTGCTAATGTTGTTGTTAATTATAATTAAGAAATTGATGTTTCATCTATGCACCCTTTTTAATTGAAAACAAAAATGGAACTCATTAAAATAGCTAAAGCAAATATTTTTGCATCATGGTTTGCTGTTCTTTCAATAGATTCACTTCCTTCTGTATCTAAGAAATATATCTAAACATTAGTCTTTGGATTAATTAATGGTTTTGTATACATCCAAATACCTTAAGTGCAAGAGTCAGTTGCAGCATCGACTTTGAACTTTAAAATTTAATCATAAATTTACTCCTTCTCCTCCTGCATCTAATAGCTTATTTAGCAAGAAGCTTTTGCCTGTTCTATACTTTCCACAAACTACAACAAAACCTATATCTCCATCCAACTGTTGAAAAAATTCTCTAGCCTCTTGTGTTATTTCAAATTTTTATGTTTCCTTAGTGTACTTCACTACCTGAATGGGCTTTTCTTTTTAAGTACTCTTCATATTATTTAATTTAAATAATGCATGCTAAAATACTAACGGGTTGGAAATGAATAAATTTTATTATAGTCATTATAAGCTATAAATTCTAAATTTCATTTAATTTTAAGAATTACTAAAATTATCAATAAAATATTCCTGTAAATAATGATTTAAATGAGAATATACAACAAAAAGTATGTAAATTCAATAAAATAATAAGAAAAATTCTAATTGATTAACTAAAAAATTGTTTAAAAATCCAATTTTATTAAATCTTTAAAAAATATAAAATGTCATTATATATTCATATTATTTTTAATAAGGAAAGTATATATAAGTAAATTAAATTTATATTTAAAGAACTACAAGATGAAAAAAACAACATAAAATGATAGAGAGTAATCTAGTATAAATTATAATATTAAAAGTAAGAATTAATAAGGATGTCAAATTAGATTTAAAAAGCAAACACTACTTATTAATTTTAGAAAATTATAAGGCCATTTTAATATACAGAAAATAATGATTAAAGTAGATAAATAAATAATAATATAATTTAATTGTTAATTATTTGAATGAAATTTATAGATGTAACTAAAATTTATTAAATTTATTTATTGATTATTTTGTTTTTGAATTTAAGTAGAGATTAATGAATATTTTATACATTAAATATCAATAAGAATTCTTGCTAACTAATATATTAAAATAGTATTGCTTTACAAGGAATATCATATCAACTTTGATTAGGATTATAAGATAATAATTTAGCAAAGTCCACACAGATATTAAATTTATGTTTCAAATAATTTAAAAGATATAGAGCATAACAATTAACACTTAAATAAATAAAATTAATGGATTTATGAAAATATTTAATTGTATTATTATTTAATTTATAATTAGAATAGAATTATAATATAGATATATAACAGTAGCGTCTAAATAAAATTTTGTGAACTTTTGATTAATAAATAATAGAAATTTTAAATCAATACTTTAATATTGATATAAAAATAGATTTCCTACAATTAATTCATGAAATTTATATCAAAGGGGAATTATATACCTATTGTAGACACTATCGGAAGTTGATTTGATATGAAAGTTTTAATTGGAGAGGGAAAGTCGCTTAATGAGAATTTAGTCATTAAGCTATAGCTAAAATAAGTGATTTCATATAATCTAAGCTTAATTATTTTAATTTTTATATGTATAACTCAGAATAAGTTTAAATCCTAAATGCAACTTAATTATAGTCTGTTCATTCCTAATTCAATTCTATTAATGAATAACTTGCTTAGCTCATTCTAAAAGTATGAAAATGTTATAAACTAGAAAAAATATAAAAAAATATACGCATTACTGTCATAATTTTTTGATCGTTATGACTAATGTAGTTAAATTCATTTGAATGACAGAATTCACTTTTAAAATATTCTGCTCAAATCTTTAAATAAGATATTTAAAAAATGTATACTGAAGGATATGTCACAAAATAATATTATAGATATAAAAATATGGAAATAGAAAATAGTTAAATATTTAGAAATATATCCCATTCTTATATCTAAATTAACTTCTAATTTAGATATGATCTAAATCGAAACTAAACATACCATAAGAGAATAAATTAGAAACTCTATTTTTCAAGATTAATTATCAAAATAAATTCTAATATCAAATAATACACAACTTAGATTGAGTTAAATAGTAAGAAAATTTTGTTTAGAATAAGAATATGATAGCTATTTATAAAATATTATGATTGCGTTTCGATTTTTAAGTTATTAGGATTTTTAACCATAAGAAAAAGTTAAATATGCAAAATTGTCCTATGATGTCAGTAAGATCTTAATTTAAGGAAAAGGAAAAAGGGCATCAAAATTGTATAATTACATTTTATGTGCAACTAACTTACTTACTAAATGTTTTGAAAATAATATTGATACTATTAAAGAAGTATTAGAAGAAGTCAATTGTTCTATTATTATTAATTACTTAATATATTTAGTTTAATAAATAGAGACCAATAATGAATTTAAAATAAAACTTAAATGTAAATGGAAATTTATAAGATTATTAAAACCTTTAATATGGTTTTGGATGTAATCCATTTATTATTATTAATCTATTTTTTAATTTGAAAAATGTTAAACCATAATGAATCTTTTAAAATGGTTAAGCTTTTATTATCTTCTTTAAAATGATGAATTGGTTGACTATATTTAAAATGTATCTACATTAACATATTCAAAATACAAAGAATTTATTATATTTAATTCTGTTATAGAATCTATTTGTTTAGATGATGAAGTTGGAATGCCAAGATTGAAAATATTAATGAGAGACATTTAAGAATAAAATAAAGAGAAATCAAATTATAAACAAACAATAAATTATTATTATAATATGAATGATAAAAACACTCCTAATTAACCAAACTTTTATTACTGTAATCCATAAGTTTAAGCTTAATTAATAAAATAACTTGATATACCATTCATTGATGTTCCTATTGAAAATCTTAGCTTAATGGACACTCGTTAATCTAGTAAAACATTGAAATGTCCAAAAAGATTGAGTTCTTCATTTAATTAAAACTATCAAAATTTATTTCGAAGATCAATAACCTAATATTCTACAAGTTTTTCTGAAAGGAAGCATTAATCCTAATCTTATCATATTTAATAAACATAATAAATTCAAGAAAATACTGTTCCTATGCTTGATAAAATTATTAAAAAATTAATAGAACAAAATATGAATCTTAATAATATTGAGTAATATTTTATACTATAAACATTAGTGATAATAAATCTTAATAACAGTAATTATTAACCAAAGAGAAATTAAAATAAAAAGAGAATGATTTTTATAAAAAACTCTTAAAATTCAAAACATAATCTTCTAATTTTTAATCTAAAATCAAAAGGAAATCAAATCAAGAACTTATTACAAAATTAGATCTATAAATTAAAATTATTGAAAGATAAACATAGCTTGATTCAAAAAATTAGCAAAATTATAATTTTTAAATAAAATAAAATGATTAGAATATATCTTTGTTGTCCTTTGAAAAACCTGGAGTTGAATTAACTCCACTATAAAAATTGAAAAAAATCATTTTTAAACATCATGAAGTGTTTTCCCTTCAAAAATTGAGGAATAAACTTAAATAATCAAAAAAATGGTATAACAAAGCATAATCATCAAGTCGAATATTAAATAATTCTACTCATCAGAAAATAAATATAGGAAGATCAGTAATGAGACTAAAATCTAAGGAATAATAATTAATAGATTTGAATTATATAAGATATAGATCACAAAGTTTATTAAGAAAAAAGTTAAGTGAAACATAATTATAATTGGAGACTATAGATGATAGAATGAAGAATGTTAGTACAAGAATAAAATAATCTAGATAATCTGTGGATGAATCTTTGAGATTAGATAATAAATATTAAATACTAAGTAGATCAATAATAAAATAGGAGAAGAGTAAAAAATAAATATGAGATATTTTATTCATATATTTCGTAATTTTTTTGGAATTTGAATTTGAATATAATAATTAGCGGAAAAAATTTTATCTAAAGATGGAAGAAGATCAAAGTATATAAATATATAATGTTGATTAGACTTAGTCTCATTATCATTACTCAATGATGAGTAGGATTAGAAATTGTTAGAAAAAATATCTAGTAAGAGTAAAAAAATTTTCAAAATTATCTATCCAAATAAGTATTCATTATTCTAAGTATATTTTTAGTAAATAATTAATCAAATACAAGATTTATAATAGAAAGGAAAAAAGTTTGGAGGAATTGAGTAAGAAATTTGTTAGATGTCTAATTGATTATGATGAAAAGATTATATGTTTGGATTAGATTACTGAAGAATTGGGTAATGTATTGTTTAAAGTTAGGGGTTGAAAGAAGAAGAATTTATGATATAATAAATATACTTGAAAGCTTGTAAGTAGTTAAAAGAAAATGTAAAAATAAATATAGTTGGAGTGGATTCAAAACTATTTATTAAACAATTGAATAAGTATTTTATAATTAATATATATATATTAGTATGCAAATAAATAATCTAATTTCGACATAACTACACATAAAAGAGAGAAATCTTTAGAAGTACTATCAGCTGGGTTTATTAAATTATTTATGTAATAAAAGTCAATTTGGACTTTGGAAGAAGCTGCTAAATATTTAGGAAATGAAGTTGATCAAAATAAATTAAAAACAAAAGTAAGAAGGTTATATGATATTGCAAATGTATTAAAATCTATTGGTTTAATTAAAAAAACTCATTTGGCATCATCTAAAAAACCTGCATTTTAATGGGTTGGAAAAGAAGGGTTAAAATTATTTTATCAAAATTTAAAATAAAATGAATTGAGAAATTCAACTCAATAAATTAAAGAGAATGTAGCTGTTATACCAACTCCATAAATTTAAAATCTAAATAAACCAGATAATTTTAATTAATATGTTGGTAAATGCATAGATTTGCTGATATAATAATAATTAAATGATAGAAAACTATAAACTGAATAAAAAATTAGAGAATAAAATTAAAATTAAGTCACTATTATTACTCCTAAGTTAAGAAAAACATATACAATAATTGTAATAAATATATTTTAATTTAGCCTCCAAGAGTTACAACCCCAAAAAAGACTTTGTCGAATACCCCTAAAAAAAATCAATCTAATAGTCATACTCCTAATAATAACAAAACTGTAGTTGGTTCTCTCATTGGAAAGTTTAATTAAAACTTATGATTCTTTATAGACATCTATATTTTTCATTAAATTATTTATTATAATACTCTTCCTTGTCTTTTCTAATGAGGAGAGATATAAGTACTGAATAAAATTAGTAAACCGTTGAAAACATCTCATAGTTGGGAACTACGTAATGTAATATTTAATATTTAGATTTCGATTTGAACAAGCTAATTAAGTTTTAAGCTCTATATTGCTGTCCAATTCTTTTTATGTTATAGCAGTCTTATTATTCAGTTTTCAATTGAATTTTGATGGAGATCTGCTATCTGTTATTTATTGTATCGATTCAAAATTGTTGTTGCAAATGATCCATTAGTTGTATTTTTATCGAATATTTCTACATTTCAACATGTATGAAAGTTTTTATTAGTTATTTAGAGCAGATAAACACATTTTAATAAGACTAATATAAACTTTAATCGAAGGTTCTTATTTACTTGTACTTAATTTATATTAAATATCTGGAAGAAGAGATTTGCTATTGTTTTCAAACATCCTTCCCTTATTTAATATATTTATTTCCATGATTTTAAAAATTAATGAAGGAAATTAGTACTTTAAAGAATCAATATCATAAATCAATATGTATCATGTTTTTAGAAACATCACTTTATTTATAATATCAATATTTCTAAGTTTAAAACTTGAAGGGTACTTTGAAATACATTGGTTATACGCTTTGTGGATGTTTTGGATACTTTTTGGGGTTTCTACAATAATAGTGATTTATTGTATATTTTTAGTTTTAGGATTAGGAATACAAATTATTTTAGAATAAAATAGTAGGCTAAAAAATTTAGGTTTGATATTTGTTTTTATAAATAGTTATCGTTAATTTCTGGATATTATTTTTTATGATATCTAATGCATCAATGCTTCTTCTAATTCCAATTTCAATACTGAATTTTAATAATATAGGAAATTATTAAAATATTATTGACACCTCAAGAATTATTTTAATAGTTAACTAAATCATGTTTTCTTATTATACAGTTAGATTTAAACCTGAAATAGTTGTAAGTTTATAAACTTATTTCTCTTTAAATGATTCAGTAAATCCATTAAATACTCTACCAACATTATAAGGAGAAGAATAAATTTAACAATTTAAAAAATAAGACTTTATAGATAGTCAAGTAATAGAGCCTCGAATGCAAATACCAAAAGTTGTAAAGAGAATATCTAAAACTTATTTTGGATTTGATGACATACTTTCAGATAAAAAATCAGAGACTTAACTTCCTTGTAAAAAACCTACTCATCATAAAGCATTATCTTCTTAAATATAAAGACTTCCATAAAATTAATATGAAAATATTAAATTGACATCTTTAATCAACATTAAAATAAATGAAGGACAATAGAGTAATACACAATTAGACAATATTTCAAAAGAAATTGAATAAGTATTTTTATATTATCTATTGTTAATTTAATAGGTTAATTTACCTAGATCAGTATCATTATCATCTATAAATGCATGTTGTATTTGTTTTGACAATGAACCAAATGCATTATTTATGTAATGTGGTCATGGAGGAGTCTGTTATAATTGTGCAATTGATTTGTGGAAAAATAAAGCTGAATGCTATTTATGTCGTAATGTAATTAATATTAATTAATTCTAGAAAATTGATAGAGTCTTAAAAATCTAAATGAGTGAATAACAAAAAAATATTTATCAAGTTGTTGCTGCTACTGAGATGAATTAAAAACTAAAATTTGAACAAAAAAACTTTACATAAAACTAATAATAATGACTTACTGTCTTAAATATTATTTATAAATTTATTTATTATTTTAATATAACTTTTACTCATAATCTTTTTATAATTATTTTATAATTTAGATTCTGTAAACTTATTATAATTTTTTTTAATTACGAATGAATAATTAAAACAGAAGTATTAAAAACATGGCTTTTTCTTATTTAATTTTGAATAAAAATTAAACTAATTTATAAGAATATTTAAACAATTATTATTTTCAATAACAATTATTCTAATAATATTAAATACCTATTTATTTACTTAATGATAATCTATTCATATTTTAGTTTTCATCCAATTATGTTAATATATTTTAGATATTTTAAATTAATTTTTATTATATTTTCGATTGTAATTGATTATTAAAATCTATTATAAATATATATATATATATAGTACACATATTCAGGATTATAATATTTTATTAGACAAACAACTTTTATTTAATAAGATTAAAACATAAAGTCAATAATATATAAATTTAATAATTTCAAAACTTTAAAGTATCCTTGTTGCTAGAAATAGCATATAATTCTTCTGCAAAAACGGCATATCTATGATAATTAGATAATCTTGAGTTATTTGTTTACTTTTTTTAACTTTTTGGTTCTATTTTAGGAAAAATAATAGAAACATCCTATGAATCTTCCTTTTTTGTAATGGATTAACTTTTCATTGTCTATTTAATACTACTTACTTTTTAAGATTTTTCTAATGTTTTTGTTCTATCAGTTTTTATTTATCTATTAATAATCTTTTATTCTTATCTTTGTAATAAGCTTGAAAAATTATGAAATTCTCTAATAAAACTCATTTCATCTTGATTCTTTTATTTTATTTTAGATATCTTCTCTTTATTTTCAATTAAAGCTATTTCTAAGTATTTTTATTTAAGTTAAGAATAATCAATTTATTCATTTATATCTTCTAGTTGAAATTGTTTCTTCTTTGTTTAAATGACACTATTATTTAAAGATTCATTTTATTCTTTAATTTTAGAATTCTTTAAACTACTATTTTGTGTTCTAAATCTACTTGTCATTGCAAATTCTTAATAAGATTATTCTGTTCTTTTTTTAAATTTAGGTGGTTTAAATTATATTTCTGGATTTTCTATACACATAATAGAAAATTTAACTGGCAATTAAGTTGAATTACTACTTCCATCAATTATAACAGATTAAGGAGATATATCAATAGATCTTTATTGGTTATTATTTTTAATAAATGAAGCTTAATCTTATTAAATATCACAAAAAGATGAACTTATCTATTATATATGAGAACTATTTTTTAAACTATTTTAATTGATTTATATTGAATTTTGATTTTATAATGATTTTAATTTATTTTATTTTATTGGACACATCCAAATGAAATTATCAATTAAACGAGAATTTTCATTAAAAAATTATAGTTAAATTGTTTATTTATCATATTTAAATTTCTCTGCTTATGAATTATTTTAACATAATATTATTTAATTTAATTTTCCATCATATAATTAGGATGTATCTAAAGCAGGTACTTCTAATTTAAATACATTCTAAATTTTCTAATAGTATTTATTTAAAAATATAGTTTTTTATTAGAGTGGACTCTCCCATATATTATCACTAAACATAAGAATCTTTGTTCCATTAAGTTTGAATCTATAAGTAATTAATGCCAAAGCTATAACTCTGTATTTGGCTTCACTTGTTGAAGTATAAGTAAATTTAATGTAATCTCTATTGTTTATATAATCAAAAGATATAGATGATCCAAAATGAAGTAATCCATAAATATCTGCTTATATTTAATATTTAAGTTCTTTCAAGGATTCCTTATGTTTACTTAAATATTCTCTATTTCTGCAATTCCATTTTGATTAATTTTAATCTTATTTAATAATACTATAATCTATTAATTTTTGTTCATTTATGTGTACCTTTTGAATTTCTTGAATAAGCCATTTAGGAACAACGGCAATATTTAAATGATCTAATTTAATTAATGATTGTGCATATGTAGATTAAATAGAATCATTAAATATTTAAGATTAAAATTGTAGTCTAACAATTTCATTATCTGCCATAATCTTAAAATTATTATAATTATACCGTATTATATTATTCTAAGAATTTAAGGGAATGTTTTTAATTGCTAACAATCTCTTGAATTTTTGAATATGTTTACATATCAAGATATAAATTAGGTGTTGGAATTTGTGAAACATAAAATGATATTTCTTTAAAGAAATTATTTCTGTGATTCCATCTAATTCTTCTAAACCATCTTTATATTACATATATAGCTCTGGATTAATTTATCAATTTCATAATAGTAATAAATTTCATACCTTTAGAAACAATGTTTCTTTTTGCTCTAAAGTATTTTTAGATTCTACATACAGCTGCTATTTCTCTTAATTAGAAATCAAAAAATATATGGAGTTATTTATTTCTATTCTAACAATTATATTAATAGATCTTTTTCAAAATATTCAAATTATCTAATTCTATATATTGTATTAAATTGTATTCTTCAGACTAAAATTTATCTATTCTATGTAACATTTATTTATGTCTCATTAATTCCTGATTATTTAATTCATATTATTTTTTAGACAATTTAACCTTAATATATTTAATAAAATTATAAAGAAATTCATATTTTATTATGTCCCTATTAATATTAGTTTCTCCAAAGGTTTTCTTTAATTAATGAAAATTGAATAGTATGACTCCAGATTTGATTCTATGAAATAGTAAAGGTATAAGATTTTTATGTTTGCAACTATTTTAAATGTGCAACCTTATGGTTTTAATGTTTACTTCTTTGGCATGTAAATTAAAAGTATTTTTAAATATTTGCTCTTATGATTTTAAAATATAAAATCGTTTAACTTAATTCTAATTCAAAAATTCTCTAAGATGTTTGACTTTCCATAAATTGATTTTCAACGCTTTGTAAATTAAATTAGAAGCATTGTTAATAATGTATTATTAAAACCTTCGCCTTTTCAACTCCTTATATGAATTAAGAACTCTTATATAACTTTGTTTGTATTATGCAATGAGAATACTTCTAACTTCCTTTCTTCTAACTACAAAGCTTCTCCATTGATTAACAAATTTTTATGCCAATTAAATATTCATAAAATTACAAAAAATATCAATCATTCATAGTTTAATTTAACTTTTTGTTTGTGATAATAGTTTGTCCAAGCACCTCCATTATTTG